TACAGGTGTAAACATGGAGTCTGTGCCTAGTGTTTTCTTTCTAAGCATTAAAGATTAAAGATGTTAGGAAGTACTCAAGGTTAGGGGAAAAAAAGCCATCAACAGAAAGACCCTTGGTAAATGAAATGCCACAAGCCAGTGTCTCCCAAAGATGTGTGTTCTTAGGAACAACAATCCCTCAAGAGGCCCCAATCCAGAAAAAGGGTTCTGTTGTCAGTTTCCAAAGAGGAGAAGGGGTATGCTGGTTCTGTCACTTCCTAGCTGAGAGATCTTGGGTAAACTATTTCACCTCCGAGAATTTGTTCTTCAGTTGTAAACACAGGGAACTACCGCTAAAGGCTGTGGGGACAACTTGAGATGATTTTGTAACAAGATGCTTTGTACAGTATAAAATGCTGTATTACTGTAGTAAAATACAGTATTACTGAGTTATCCTATAAACACACAGTACAGCAACACTTCTAACTATCTTGAAGAATAGTACAAAGATAAAATTCTCATATGTAACAGTGGATTCAAAAACCCTTCAGTAAAGTTAAAATAAAATTCAAGAGTTGATTTCTATCTACTACAGAGATGGTTTTACATAAAATCCATGTGACTCAAGATTATTTGGAGTAATATTTATGACAGTAAATATTTATTTACTATCAAGTCCTTCCTAGGGGCAGCCTGTGTCAAAGACTCCTTAACCGAGCATTAGTCAAGCTCCACTGAGCCCTTTTTTCCACTAGGCCTTGACCTTGGCCTTCTGGGTCCATTCTGTTCTTGACAAGTCCAGTCTTAGCAAGAATCCCCCCAGTCTTGAGGTCTCCTTTTAGTAATTTTCCATCCATTGATCCCCTCACTCTGCATCTTGGCTATAAATCCCCACTTGTTCTTGTGGTGTTCAGAGTGGAGCTCGCTCTCACGTAGCAATAAAGTTGACCTTTATTGCAATAGTCTTGCATTACCATTTTAACAAGTGTCAGAATGATTTTTTTCTTTAACACCTGAAGTGAGTTGACATATTGTCATTATGGGGACTCCAACATCCTTTGAGGACCTTAACTAGTCAACCTGCAATTCTACCATCCGCAGGCTAGTTTTTCTCTCTGTTCACTAAACACTACAACTGCTTTGAAAAATGCATGAATATTTAACTTTACTGAAAAGGACCTGCTGCAGCCCTTTCCTCCACTCACCCCCTCCGCCCCCTGAGCCATTTCTCCCATAATTTCACGAGGTTTACTTCATGCGCTTTTCCTCTTACCACCGCCACCTGCTCCAGGCTTGAGTTCAGAGGCTGTGCAAGATTCAGGCACCTCCAGGATCCGCTCACTATCTGAAGGCTGGTTTTCATGACTGGCAGGAGAAAGACTGAGTGAACTCAAACAACCTGGAGGACAAAGAGCACCCGTCAGAGAGAAAAGTCAGTGAGGGAACAGTGATTTTTTAAGTGGGGAGGGGATGGGTGCTTACTTACTTTTCATGTCATTTTTTAACACTACAATTCTCTTATGACCATGTCCTTTTATCCAGACCACCTGCACACAAGACATACTATGGGTTAAGCAGTGGAAAAGGAGGGGACATAAGTCCTAACATTCAGGAACAGTGTGACCTATTGTGCCTGCCTTAAACATACTGGCATTTAGAAACCGAATTAATGCCAAGGACAATTTTTCTGTACTTTTCCTTTAGGTTTTGAAGCAATAGAAGACAACAGAAACACGCCCCTTATAAAAAGTTGAGTGGTCAAAAAATCATGAGACACAGCTTTAAAATATTCCTTATGACTCTTAAAAAGACTGTCTTCTGAACACCAGCTTTAGTATGTAAATTAATATAGCTCTCACATAAGAGCTCTTGCCATTTTTTCCATAAACCAAACTCAACTTAAAAGAACTAATAGCAATCTCCTAGACCCCTAAGCTAAGCTCATGATCAAAATCCTACAACAACGTCCTCTAACTAATGGTGCTGTTGTCCCCCACCACCACCAAGTCACAGTGCTGATGTGCTGATCCTTGGCTCCCAGGGCTCCCCCACAGACAATCTGTCACCAAGTCTCTGGTCTCAGCTCCCAAGCACTCTTGCCTGTGTCCTCACTACTCTCTCTCTTCTATTACTTCCACTCTGGCTCAATCCCTTCATCCATCACTGACCCAGACCGCTGCAGTGGCCAAGATCCTAGCCAAGTGCCCTCCTCCACTCCTGTTTCTCTCAAACCTACTATGGACAGCTGTCACTGTGATGCTTTTCAAGTGCAAACCTGGGGCTCCTCCAGGCATTCTCTATGGCATAAGCCATGCTCTTTATATGGAGGAGCCAAGCCCTCTGTAACTGAGCTCTTACTTCACCGTCAGTCTCCAGCACGGTTTTCAACGCCCTTGACACTCCACGCTACTTCTCACTGTTCTGTGTTTGCTCACACTGTCCCCTCTATCCTGACTGCCCTTTCCCCTCCGTGTCACATGGTGAACTTGTACACACCCTCGACCACTCAGCTCTGGGACCCACCCCCCACACACCTGGAAGGGGACCTCACCACCCATGGCACTCCTCGGTGTGCCTGCTGAGCACGGGAGGCTCACGGCTGCTGCTGCACTGACCACACTGACTAACCACCTGCTCAGGTGTCCTTACCCTCCCACTACCTGATAGCTTCCTGAGGGCACAGTATGGCTCTTACTCACCTGGCATACAGGAATTTAATAAAGGTTTGCAGAATGAATGTGAAATGCTGAAATAATTTATGAATGCTAACAGTACGTTTTCAAAGAATCAGTTTGAAATGCTTGACATTTTATCATTCTGGCAATGTTTTATTTTTCTGTTCAGGAGAGTAAGCCTATGGCTCTTCAGGAAGACACTCTACAAGAAGCTCAGAACACCCACCTGTGGGATTGCTCCCAAGAGCTCCTCCACACTATTGTAGCCATATGTCTTGGGCTGCAGTGTTTCTCCAACATACTTGGTATAGGCCATGGAAAATTCATGAAGGAAAATCTGATGGTAATGATACGTATGAAGCAAAGACCGCACATTCTTTGCAAACAAATACAGACTTGTGAGTTTCACACATTCTTCTGTGTTATCATTAGTGAAAACCTAGTTCAAAAGAAAAAGCAGTGTTAGAAACTTCATGAGTGACTGGCCCTACCCTCTCAGAAGGGAGGGCATCTAGATGAGAGTGAAAAGGCCCAAAGTCAATTTGAAAATGGGCAATACCCTGAGAAGGAGGAGCAGGAGGAGAAGATGATCTACTCAAGTGTCTCCTCCTCCTATGAACATTAGTTCTATCTGCAAGTCTAAGCCTGCAGAGGAAGAAATAGTGTGAGTAGGGAAGGAAACTGGGAAACCTGAGGTCTCAAACAAAGGCGGCAGCGAATAGGTGAGGCAAAGCCCGGTGGAGACAGCTGCAGACACAGCAGTGGGGACTGAGGCCATCATACCTCATCGCCTAAACTTGTTTTCCAAGAAACACTGGGAAGCAGGACGGCATCAGCATTCTTTAAAAACCCAACAAAAGCAAAAAGTAACAAACTAACAAACACAAAACTCTTATGTCTTAGGGGTAAGTAAGCAAGCAGATTAAGCAAATAATTAAACAGATTTCCTTACCGTAAATCTTTTCATAGTTTTTAATATGCACTGGAATCTCTTAAGAGAAGGGATATTTCCCAGCCTTAGCTGGCCATGGAAAGTCTTTTGTCCTGGAACATCCATTAACATTATCTAGGACTAGTGTTCATAGAACAGATAATTAACAGACTTTGGAAGATGGTGGATTTGCTATCTTTTCTAGTTTTTAATATGCACTGGAATCTCTTAAGAGAAGGGATATTTCCCAGCCTTAGCTGGCCATGGAAAGTCTTTTGTCCTGGAACATCCATTAACATTATCTAGGACTAGTGTTCATAGAACAGATAATTAACAGACTTTGGAAGATGGTGGATTTGCTATCTTTTCATTATTTCATTTTCCATCACACAGTTACATGATAACAGTGGAATATCATTCTTTTCTTACACTGCAGGATTTTACTTGTTAATATCTTATTTAGAATACTGTTCTTTTAAGGGACCATGTTAGTTTTTTGGTATTAAAGTTATTTTGGCTTCATAAAAATAAGCAGTAAGTTTTCCATTTCTTTCTTTTTTTTTTTTTAGTGGCCTGCAATGGCTTTCAAAAAGTCAGAGTTACAGGCTGGCCAGTTAGCTCAGGTGGTTAGATCGTGGTACTGATAACACCAAGGTCCAGGGTTCAATCTCTGTACCTGCCAACCGCCCAAAAAACAAAGATGTTGGAGTCATCTGTTCCTTAAGGGTTAGTTAAAACTCACTTGTTAACCTATTAGGTCCTGGTGCCTTTCTCAGAGGTAAAATTTCAATGATCTTTATGGTCTCTTTTATAGTAATTGGTCTAATTTTTAACAACTTGAGTCAATTCTCATTATTTTTTCTAAGATCTCTTCTGTTTGCTCTAGGTTTTTATATTTGTTGCCCAAGAATTGCATGTAATATTTTCCTAAGATTCTCCTAATCTTGAAGTGAGATTTTTGAAAGGCTGCCTTCCTTTCTGACCCTTATCTCTCTGATAAGTCACTGAAAGCCATGACATAAACCACCTAATCCAGAAAGATCTAACAGTGGCAAAATACAGCTGGTGCAGGACCCAGTCCAAGTATCAGGAGGCCGAGGCTTTTGTGCTGACTTTGGCACTCACTGAGGCAGGGTTCCTTTACCTCCTCTGCCTCAGTTTGTTCATCTATAAAATGACAAATCTTGGAGTTCTTTAGGTTACTTTCCAGCTCTACACACACTCATGTAGACCAATAGGTAGTTGAGAAATACCCAATTCACCAATTTCAATATGATGGTTCTAAGGAATCAATACACGTACCTCAACTAAGTATGGCAGACTCTTCAGAAGTTCAGTTAAGGTCACGAATCCATATTCACAGGGGTTAAGAGGAGTACTGTGGGTAGTTTCATAATGTCTCCTGAGTTCATCAACAGAAAGATAGGTGGTTCCTTCCCAAGACATCAACAATACCAGCAACTGGGCAGTCAGAGATCGTAGAGACTTCCGGTTGATCAGCTGAATCTGTTTCCCAGATTCCATATCGGCAACCTGAGGAAAATGAGAATTCAAACTTTTCAGAACTTGAGAGAGATAACCTTGGTTCTGGGCAGTCAGAGATCGTAGAGACTTCCGGTTGATCAGCTGAATCTGTTTCCCAGATTCCACATCGGCAACCTGAGGAAAATGAGAATTCAAACTTTTCAGAACTTGAGAGAGATAACCTTGGTCATATCCAACTCAGCTAATTTCATTTTGGTTAAGGAGACTAATAGAGGAAATATCTCTTAATTTTTTCTCTTAAACTGAAATAAAGTGAGTGGGTTTGTCTTTAGTCTCTCTGGAACACCAGACCAACACTTTAAATGAGACCGGTGCAAAATTGTTCTCTCCCTCTGCTGGTCCGTAACCCAACACCTCCATCATTACCACCCTTCTCGGGCAACAGTGGGGGAAGCAACTGCTATTGTTCTCTTTATTCTTCACTCATTCTTTCCATTCCCCCCATGGGGGCTTCTCAGCCACTCCATTGTGGCCTCTGTCCCCACATCACACTGACGCTGCCATTGCTCTGACCAGTAACACCAACTTTCTTCACTTAGCTAGACCCAAAGGTCAAGTCAGTCCCTATCTGACCTGGCCTCCCCATAGCACGTGATGCTGCTGGACTTTTCTCCTCCTCAGCTTTGGGATGTTCCACCTCTCCTAGTAAGCCTCCTATTTTCTAGCAGCTCCTTCTCTGTCTCCCATGAGGGTTCTTCCTCCTCCTCTAACAGACCACTAATAACCAGACTCCTTCTGGACCTGTGACTGGGGGTGCACCCCTTCAGGTCTCCCTTTCCATTTCTTCCTCCTTGTAGTGAATTCTCCTGGTCCTGTTGGGGAGAAGACCAGTAAACTGTCAGCTGCTCTGCCTATGACTGGCCTCCCAGTCAGTCCAGGGCAGCGAAGAGGAGGAAGTTGCCCTTTCTGATACAGCTTTGCTAGCTACAAAGGCAATTTTGAGCCCTTGCTCCTAAATCTTCTCCTAAGTGAATCAGAATCTGGTGGGGAGAACAGATATATAAGTACAGTTGCCCAAAAACATTGGAGACAAAGGTCTGTCTGGAAGGATTCAACTTCAGATCAGCAGTGCTGAGACTGATGTACCTGAGAATAAATACCTCAACAGTTCAAAAAGACATTACTGGTTCCGGTCAAGATGGTGGAATAGACGGTCCCCAGCATCACTCTCTCCCACAAATCAACTAATTTACAACTATAAAAATGTAACATCAGCCAAGCTGGGGCTGCTGGAGCTCAGGGGAAGAGGAGGAGAGACCTATGGAGTTCATGAAGGCAGGAGAAACTACGATGAGAGAAAGAAAAACTGCTCAGATGTTTTGTGCTGTAGCTGCTTTAATGCTGGAGTTACTGAGTGCATGGAGCAGGAGCCAGGAGAAGCCGCAGCTGTGCCCTTCGGATGGAGTTACCTGGAGGCAGCAGGGGAGAAGAGGGCCTTGGCGGCCCCCAGGACAGTAAGACAACTAACAAGGTTCCCGTGGACACATGCAGAAGCAAGGAGCCAGAACATCTGACAAAGGGGAGCTATTCAGAGGCTGGTGAGTCACTGCAAGGGACCGTTGCAGGGCCTGTCTCATGGGAAGTGTTTGGAGCATGGGTGGGGGGGAGACAGGTCCACCGGGAGAACACTAGGACACAGCAAGGACAGCCGATCCGCTCCCCAATCAGCACAGGACCACTCAGAGGAGACTGGTCAGGAATGCAGAATTGTTTGGGGTGCAGTTTGATGAAAAAACTCAGGCCCAGATCAGAGTTTCTACACAACGCTGGTGCACTGGTTCTCTGGAGAGCCAGAAGTACCTATAAGGTCAACCATTTAAACCCTGAGCTGCACGAAAAGCCTTCCCTAGGGAAACAGCAGCAAAGCAGCAATTTAGCTCAACCACACAGCTCCAGTACTGGTTCCCACAGGAAGTTCCCCTGTTTTAGAAGTAAGCAAAGGACAAAATATTAGCTCTGGCCCAGGCATACTGCCAGCACCTTGGGTCCCACCAGGAGAACTGAGGCATGGAGTCAGGGACCAGACCCCTGCCCACAACCAGGCATACTACCAGCACCTCAGGGCCCCACCCAGGGGCCGGACACCCCAACCCACAACCACACACATCACCAGTGCCAAGGAGCATGCCAAAAATATCACCTCCACGTGGGTGGCCCACCACAGCCACCACAGTAACCACAGCTGCTGCGAGTGGCTAGATGTCACAACTACCATGCAGATGGTCCACCAGCCACTGGAGTGCACTGACACAGCAGAGACCAAAGAAAAGAGGATGTCTCTCTCCACAAAGCCCACTCTAGAGTGACAGAAGAAGCATCTGCTCTATGATAATATTGTAGGACCTGATCATACCTCTCAGGATTGGACAGATCATCTAGGCAACAAATCAGCAGAGTAACCATTACTCTTTCAGAGGGAGAGAAGAAATCTAGGGTTATCAGTGGTGGGAGGGGAGAAGGAGAGGGGGATGTGGAGAGACTGGACAAGAGGTATAAAGAGTAAGTACAATTTGTAACAATATACATACTAGTAATATTGATTTGATCAACATATGTCAACATTGAACCCCCCAAATATGTATAATCAATTATGATTCAATAAAAAAAAAAAAAAGACCAAAAAGGCATTACTTTGGCAAGGTCATTAATAAACATACAATAGAAAGATGAAAAATCTAAACTATCGAACCAAGTTATGTCCTATTACCTAATACGGTATTAATTACACACAAAGCAAGGTGTGGAGTAACAATAAGTAAGTAATATAAGGTGCAAATATAGAAATGCTAAAGGACATATAAACACCACAGTGAGGATCATGCCATCACAAGTTTTATTCCATGAAAAGAAAATATGTTTACCTTTACAACATGGCAGAGTTTCTGTGTTAAAGCTGAAATTGAACTGACATCATAGTCTTGGAGATGAAATGTGTAACCAAAAGTTTTAGCATATTCTGTCAGTAGATCTGTCATCATAAGGCAGTTATCTTTTTGAGATCGAAGGAGTTTAACAAACTGGGCAGCTAGAGCTTTGAACCGTTCTACCTCTGTCAAAGTAAGAATTTTTTCTTCTCCACATTCCAAGACCTTGGAAAACACACAGGAAAGAGGAAAGGAAGATTGAGCAAATCGTGATTGTTCATGAAATTAAATGGCATGAAAATATGTACAACTAGTAACTAAAAAGCATGTCAGTGTTGTTTAATAGGTATAGAGTTTCGGTTTTGCAAGATGAAAAAATTCTGGAGATTGGCTGCATAACAGTGTAAACGTACTTATTAACACTACTGAACTGTATACTTAAAAATGGTTAAGACAGTAAATTCTATGTTACGTATATTTTACCACCACAATAAAAAAAATTTTTAAAGCATGTTAGGAGTCAAAAATAACATCAATCGGGCCGGCCCGGTGGCGCACTCAGTAGAGGGCGGCACTTGGGAGCGCAGCAGCGCTCCCGCCCAGGGTTCGGATCCCATATAGAGACCGGTCCGCTCACTGGTTGAGCGCGG